TCTCCTCAGGAGACAAATAATGACCGCTCCCTCGTAAATGGATACCCGAGTGATTTGAAAAGGGAAAAAAGAAAGGAAAACAAAAGGTGACATTTCAGTAACTCGCATAGAGATTTTCTGATTTGACCAGGGGTTGCAAATTTTGTAAAAGTTTTGCTTTACGTTTTATTCTTTTTGTTTTTATTTCTTTTGACGTAACTTGGAACCTGTGGAATTTTAATGATAAACAGAAATCACTTAGATAATAACTGAACTTACCTGACCAAGACAAATGTCCCAGGTCTTTAACGGCTGTAAATAAAACAAAGAACTTAGATCACGCTCACGCTAGTTCAATTAGGTAAGTCGTTAGTTTTTAGTCAGTATGACGTATGTACAGCTACCATGTAGAAATATTGTCAATAAATTATTATTATTATTATTATTATTATTATTACCTTCTCCCTAGCACGGCACTTCTGTTTTTTATGTGCGATTTTCACGACGCACTTAATAATGTTGAAATAACCTCTAACGGGCTGACCAAGGATTTTTATGTAAGGGGTTCAAACGAGAGTTCTAGCCACTTACCAGAAAACAGCATGGGGAGAATGCTCCCTAGGTTAAGTTTGAATTTTTCCAGAGCCAACTAAGTTTCTTGAGCTTTAGCGAGAAATACGATTTTCAACCTATTAAAGCCAAATCTGTGTCTTCAAATGCTCAAATTTCTTACGCAAAAATGTTACTCTTCTGGACCAAAAAATCGCCAGGCTACACTTACATGGTAATGAAACATGCGTTGCTGCAATTTTGCGACCACACCCTCCCGAGCCACCCCACCCACCCTTAAATCTGCCATAGTCCACTACACTGATTTAATTAGTGATGTGTTGATCTCTTTCTTCTTAAAATGATTGCTCTACTTGGTCTAAGAAGTAAAAGTATGGTAATCTTAGACTAACCGCGATAAATAACAAGCAAACAAACAAACAGCCTAGAAACCTCGCACTTACAAATGTAACTGGAAGAAAAGAGGCTGGGATTTTCACCTTGTGTTCTTTCGGAAATGTTGGATGAAGAAGCGAGCTTCTTCGTGGCAAGCAGAATGTCTCTTTCGAATAAATTTTCATCCACTAATGCTCCTATATCTTCCGCCTGAGTGACTGCAAAAACACGAAGCATGTTGTTTGACTAAATTCATATAGAATATTGTCTTAGATTTGCTTTGAAAGTAACTCTATGAACTCCTTAATATTTGATCTCAAGGGAAAACTAAGCTGTGCATTTTCAAATTTTAGGGTATCATCTGGATAGCTTGTAAATTAAGATTGTTTAATGCTATTTCCATAGAGAAGTTGGTTCGTTGCTGTACAGTTGAGTGCACTGGTGGAGAACTTCGATACATGATTTGGCCAGTCATGTGTCACGCACAATTTACTTAGGAAAAAATCGAAATCTTAAGGTTTTTACGAATTAAAAAAAGAAATTTACGAGTCACAAATATTTTATTGTCGGTGAATGATTGTGAACACGCGAGATTTGCGCCTGAAATATTGTAGTTGTTGCGGGAATAAATGAGCTAAGACTATCTTTTTGTGCTATATAATCTCACTGTTTAAGTATAAATTAAAGCACCCATTCATAATGGTAATTTTACTACGTCGAGTCTAATTCCGTCTGAGTCATACGAGTGATTAACAAATTCGGACGGTAGTGAAGCGAGAATCGGGTTTGTTAATCACGAGTATGATTTCAGACAGAATTGGACGACACGAAGTCCTGTTACCGATTAATCATGACCGTTACTATTTCAGAAAAAAAATCTTAAACAAACATCTCTGGTAGAGACAATGTCTAAAGTAAAATTCCTCCATTTTTTAAATTCCCCATTTTCCCCCTTTTTTTAGGATAAGTGGTTACTGCTATGGTCATAATGATCAATTCTATGATTGGTGGATTTAGCTGAGTGTACTTAGTCTGATTGGCTGCTTCAACTATCCGATTACAGGTGTCCAATCAAAGCCAATTGTCTGATTACACTGTCTGATTACAACAGTACACAATAATTAGTAATAAATAAAGCAGCCAATGCACCAATCACATTTGAAGAAATTGTAATGGTTCTGATAAATCTCAGTACCTGTGGCTAACTGTCAATATTTACCTCACTGCTTCGCAGCTCGGTAGATATCCATCACTAGCCACCTCCACTTCGGTAAATAGTTAATTAACACGCAAGTTTTGATACAGTAAACTAAAAGCACTATCAAAACTATTTTTCTCATATCAGAATCCGGGGCCGTAGCCAGTCTATAGACCTGTAGGCCCAGGCCAGCCATTTTTTCCCGGCCGTTTGACTTAAATAATGTAACTCTTATAAATTTTGAAACAAAAATGTAACTTTCTTTGGGTATAGGCCCGCAGCAAGTCGAAAATCTGGCAAAGCCCCTGGAATCATTCACCGCCATTACCTGTTCGCTCTCTGATCTCTTGAACACCTGCTCTTAATTTCTTCGAAATCCAGTTCATTGCGAGGTAGCTAAAGAAACGTTCATTGAAAATGAGACGTTGAAACTAAAATCAAAGGACGAAGGAAAACAGTTGTATGAGTCTATTGCGTAATAAAGAGGACTTGAGCGCGCGCTTCCTTCTCACTTGTTGTTCGACGAATGGTATTTCAGAATGGTGTTCATATGACACGTTGCTATATGAGGAATTAAAGCTTTGTGGCTTTTTGTACCATGGAAATCTTGTCAAGTTTTCAATTGTCAAATAAGGAAAAAGACAAAAACATTAAAATATTTCTCTGACGTTTTGCGAATCGGCCATTTAGGGCAATGTGGACGATTGCAGACCTATGTTTCTTTTCGCGCCATCCGTACTTCTCTACCCCAGTTTTCTCGCGACTTTCTTTCGCGAAGCAAGTATTCATCAGAGAGAATGTTTTAGTGATTTTGGTCTTTGCTTTCTTCTTTGCCTATAATGTGCTTGTTTCGTTAAAGATGAACTATTCATACGACGATTCTCGTGCCCTAAACTTGTGGCAGAGAGTACATTTCAATACAGATTCGTCAAATGATGCTTCTTCCAGAGCGGACGCCTGGCGGAGATTGCTGGTTCAACTTCAAACTTTTCGGAGGAGGTTGGCTACCACTTTTAATTACACCAAACTTAAATCTCTCTAAAGTGAAAAAGTGAACCGTACTCCTAGCTTCTTTCCCTTAATGATCAGTTCCTTTGATTGTAGTCCTGATAATTGTGTGACCAAGTCTGACGGAAAACTAAGCAATATTTGAACTTCTGAACAGACAGGATCTAAGATTTGAGCTAAAATATTCTGCAGATCCATGATCTTTGGCTTATTTAAAATTCATTTAATTCCTTTATACAGGTGCGTTTCAAGGCTGAATCTACTCATTTTTCAAACCTTTTAACTACCCTCTCTTTGCTAAGTTTAGATGTAAGTCTCTGATCTTGAATTTTTCTGAAAAAAATGGTTGACTGATTTTTGTTTTATTTGTAGTAAAAAAGTATCATACCAACTTTACACAAGGATGTTAGAGAAGTTTGCAGGGAATTACTCTCAAATTTTAGACAACCAAAACCCTGACAAAGGTACCAAAAGATATTGTAATAATTCTTGTCATAATTGTTAGTTTCTTGATCACCTTGTGCCTATTGGAGCACTCTAAATACATACACAAGTAGGGTAACTATAATGTAAACTCTCAAAAATTCAAACTGAGGGGAGAAAACTGTTTATCTATTTGCAAAGCACTGCAGAGGACACTTTGAACTTATTCTAACAACCAAGTCCAATTGAGTTGTACAGAGGGGAATTAACATCTTGTACCTCTTGATTCCAAATCTGTTGTAGCAAACTACTTGGCCAAAGTCCTCTTGTTATATGAAAGCTTGTGCCTGTGGAGTTGTCTCCATCCTCTTTGGATTAATGGTACTGAGCTTTGAGATATCCAAGGGGAAACCTATCTTTTTGTTGTACTAACAAAATCATGTTTATGCAAACAGAATGGCCAGAGATAGTGATAATATATTAGGTGTAACTGAACAACTATTGTCAATTTTGTTTATAATAATTAATGATAACCTTAATAGTGGTTGATAAAATGAATCTTACAATAAGACAACCAAATGACAGCTCCAACTCAATGCTTCCAGGTAGAATTAGAATTTGGAGTGAATATTTTATGTTAGGAGTGCTGCAACAAGGAAGAGAAGCAAAGAAAATCAAAATTGACCCTGGGCTGAGATGGGGAAATTGAACCTAAGTTTGGGAGGAGGCAGTGGGAGAAGTAATGACATAGTGGTTAGTGCTGGGCTCTGGGTTAAGAGAAACAGGTTTGATGCCTGGCTGGGCCATTGTTTTGTGTTCTTTGGGCAAAACACTTTTCTGTCACAGTATCTCCCTCAACCCAGGAGTTCAGATGGGTAACTTGTTCTGGAAGCCAGATCAAATGCTGAGGGGTAATCTTGCGATGGACTGGCATCCAATCTAAGGGGGAAGTAGTAATAATAATCCTAAGAATTTGTGTTAATGCTTTACCCCCTCTAGGATTGACTAGTATCTAAATTCTCCTTGCAATTTTACCATTGAATCATATATTAAGGTCGTGAGAATAAAGGAAATGATTACCAACAAAGGAAGCTTTTGATCAGTAAAGAAATTCTCCTTGTCAGCACCTTAGGAAATGTATAAAGAACAGTATGGAGAATATGCATATTGATATTAATGTTATCTTATGGAAACTGGGATAAGCAGAATGGGCCACTTGGCTTCAGACACACTTTACCTTTTAGTAGTTTGGTATGAGGCAAGTATTCTGAGCACTGCATCCAGACCTTCAGCTCCATCATTTACATTGTAAAATAACTTATTCATTGATGCGCACAAAATTACATCCTTTTCAGAAAGTTGAATCATGAATTTTTGTATGAAATTCAACACCTTTTCTCATTGGTCCATAATGCTTCAAGTTCATAAGACAGATGCTTTACTTAATAAATGGTTTGATTCAAATTCTCTTGACTATTTTATTTTATATTTTGACAGTCAGTTTCCTTTCTTAGGCTTGAACAATTTTGCTGAAGCTGTGTTAACTCTTGCTTCTAGCCATCGTAATGGTAAGTTTTTAACAACACTGGGTTACAAAGACAGTTAAGTAGATTGCAGTGAGATAGCAAATGTGTACACTTGACTGGTGGAAAGTTTCTTTTTAATGTTATATTGTTTTTTAATGTATTTATCAGAAAGTTCTTAAGCAAGTACACACGTTTTGAAGCTGTTGCCAGAACTACTTTGAAGATGAATTTTGGTCTGACATGTCCTGGTCATGTCTACTTTTCACTGATTTCACTTTCACACACAAATTATACTCAGCTGAGTACCCTAGATTTCTAAGGCATATGCATCCTGCTTTAATTGCCATCTGTAATGATATGATAATTATTTTTTGTAGAGAGTCAGGATTGGACCTCAAGTTTATCTCTGGATAGTTTCAAAAAGCTGCCTATTTACAAATCTCTCATGGTAGGCGTGGTGAATAGCATCAGTTATTATGCAGAAATACTCTTTTTCTCCCTCTGAGCCTTCACCTCCCCCAAGGGTTAGAGTAGAATTTCCACTGAAATGCCTAGTTACCCCTGTGTTCTAAGGACTCACAACCTGTTCTTCTGAGATAGAAAAATTCATGAGAATGACATTAATGTCCTTGCTACCCACAATCATCTTATCTAGTACAACAATTTAGACACAGTGAAATCTGTGTGCAGAATTTTCCTTTCCATATGAATTTTATGTTAACAGGTTATGTAAGCAATCTATATTTATTTAGTTTACTGGTAGTTTACAAACAAGGACATTTTGGCTATGACTAGACTGTCTGTGCCAAAAAGATTCATAGATGACAAACCTCACCAGTTGCTTTCCAAAAGGGAAAACCCTCTAGGTGACACAAGCACTGTTTATGGGTGGAGCTGTGGGTGAGGTCCAATAAGGCATTGCAAAATGATTTATGGGATCTTTGTGGCCATGAATACATCCCTATCATAATTTGGATTGTTACTTCATAATTTATACACATGGAATTTTTTATAATGTACAACATAATGAATCAAGATTAATGATTTGCATAAATGTTTTTCATCCCTCAAGCACAGTCACATGCTTACTTTTGTCAAAACCATTACAATTTCCTCAAAGGCAATTGGTGCATTAGCAGCTTCATTGTTCACTAATTAATCTGTACAGTTGTAATCAGACAATGTAATCAGACAGTTGGTTGTAACTGGACCCCTGTAATCAGACAGTTGAAGCAGCCAATCATACTTAGTCCACTCAGTAAAATCTACTACACAAAATTGATCACCATAACCATAGCAACAACCACTTATACTAAGAAAAACTGGGAAATTTCCAAAATGGAGGAATTTTAACTCAAGACATTGTCTCCACAGAAGATAATTGTTCTAGATGTAATTGTTTTTTGGGAAATTGTAATGGTTTTGATTAACTGGTAACACTGACTTTGTGTTGTCCAATAGTCTGTCTGTAATAATACAAGTGACTAACAAATCAGACTCTCGTGATCACTTGAATGATGACAGACCAAATTGAACCCCACTTGGTCCATAGTAATATCATTATTTATTTTCACAAATGATATGAGGACTCATTTGATAACAGGATGCTAAAAGAGAACTTTTGGATGAGGAGCCAGTGCAAGCATCTGGTGCTACTTGTACTTATTCATCATCACATGATGATCAGTTGCACAAGATTAACTTGAATCGCCCCTCAGCTAGTGCACCAAGTCTCAGTAAGAGCCTGCAGGCAAACAAAGTAAAAACCAGTGCACAAGATTTTTCAAGTGAAGTTTTCTCATCAAAAAATACTGGGATGGAAAGCCAAAGAGTTATGTCAATATGTGAAGACTCTGGTAGGAAGGTGTGTGCGGCAGGTTTTTTTTTTAACCCCATTATAATTTTTGTTCCAAGCAATTTCTTCCAGGGACACAGCCTTTTGCAAGGGTTTGTGTATATTTGCTTCATGAACTTCCCAAAATATTTTAAAACATTCAATAGACCCTTTATCTCCCATGTGCAACTAAGACAGAAGTTCTCCTTACAATGTCTGATTCAATACACTATCAAGCAGGCAAATGGTGATATTAATTTGGGGATTACTAGTTGATCCAATAACAAATTATCCAATCTAACTTTGTAAGAACTGTATGGCAGACAGGAAGAAGACTTTTAAAATACGGAGATCTTGGGAAGGATGAAGTTTATTTTTCTTAGTATGGATGAAAATAAAATGTTTTGAATAGGCCCATGGAAAACTACAAGGTTTTTGAAAAAATGGGACTCCTCCATCAAATGTTTCTTATAAGTGTAACAGTGGAACATTTGATTGAGACAAATTATCTACAGAGCAGAACTGGAACAGAGCTGAAACATCATATACCAAATTTGTTGTGTTCTGATATGTCTTTCAGGTAGCAGTGCACATAAAAATGTCCTTTATTAGAAATTGGTATAATCAACCAGTGAATTACACAAATCTTATGAGTGATGCACTGCATGTAGAGCCACCTGATCATCTTTGGCAGGCAACTCTTTGGGCAGGTTAATTCACTGAAGTATTTTTTCAGGAAATGAGGACAGAAGATTCAAATAAGTTACCACATGGTTTAACAGGACACTGTGGAATGAAAAGGAAGGCCACAGCTCCATGTATGAATAAGTAGTCATGATACACTGTTAGTAGCTTCTGAGATTTTAAAAACTGATTCATTAATTTCTGTTATTGGTATTTGTGGAGTTAACATTATTCAATGCCATATATGGAAACCTAGGAATCTGCACTGGTTAAAATAATCAGCTATGTTATACCAGATTTGAAGTACAAGCACCTGTTGTCAATTGACACTCCTTTAGATGAGCATGCTCTTACTCTTATATAATTATAACTCCCACAAGTGATTAACAAGTAACTTCCCCCTACAATATCCATTCACTATCCAGCAAACAAGTAACGAGAATACTCAAATGTATCAGGTTGAAGTTGTTATCTTGATCTAACACCAAATTCTCATAACTTATTTACAAGAAAATGTGTAGCAGCTAGAAGGGAGAATTAACTATCAGATCTTGGGAGGTGATGGGGTTAACTCCCAGAAGTGATTAACATGTAACTTCTCCCCATAATATTAATACATTATCCAGCAAACAAGTAACAAGAATACTTAAACTTATATATCAAGTGGCAGTTAACATCAAATTCTTATAAGTAATTAACAAGGAAAGATGTAGCAGCTAGAGGAGAGAATTAACAATCAGATCTTGAGAGTGAAAGGGTTACCTTGATTCAAAACCAAAGTCAAAACATCAACCCATCAGAGTGAAAGTAAAGTTTATGCTGCAGGGAGTCAAAGGTGAATCAATACAATTCATTTTTAAAGGGATAACATTGTGACTATGAAATAAATGCCACAATTGGATTTGGTTAACATTTCCATGTTACTTTTCAGAACTAATCTTTACTGTGAGGTGGAGTTTTGAGGCTAAACCAGAGAAGCTTCAGATTTCTTGCAACATTCAGTCAAAACTGCTCTGAAAATCAATGATTTTTCACTATTTAGGTGGTGATGGGATATACCAAGTTCATGGTCCCCAAAATTTTGCACAAAGGTTGTGTCCAGATGGAGCATCCAGCATGAAAGATTCAGCAACATCATCAACAAATAACAGTCACCCTGCTACACATACCAGTAACTTTAATTTTTATCAAGTATGTGCTGATGACCATCTATAAAGCTAGAAATAGTTACAGAATCAATGTCTGTTGTTTATCTCTTATCTTTTTCTTCTCATAAACAGCTTTCCTTTCAGGCTCAGTATTAATTTTGAGATTTTTTATCTGGTCCTTGACATTTGTTCAAATGGTGAAAAACTATCCATTGGATAAATCACTATCTGTGGATGAATTTTAACTGCACTTATCCACTGGTTAGAGATTAATCCAGTGGATGGCATTATCCACCCTTCAAACAATTGGAGCCTGTCTTTTAGCGCAGTAAATTATCTAGAAGGCATGTAAATGATCCAGTTTCTCCTTCACCTTTACCAAGCAGTTGTTGAGGATGTTGTAGGTTATACATTTATTATTTTAATATAATTTCAAGTTGGGCCAGAACCACACCATTTATGATGAATCAAATCAAACTGATTACTTTTGACTGTGGCTCTTATTTTCCTTCTCAGGGTTCGGATAAAAAATATTCCAGAAATGCCTCAGACAACCAGCACAATTCTGATGATAGTGAGCAAGAAAGCAAAGCATCTTCCTATTTCATCACTGCAAAACAAAAATTGGTAAGTTCAACCATTCACCACAAGTCAGTAGTTTGGACAGAAGAAAGCAAACATTTTGTTTCAATTCTTGTTATAGATGAGTTAACTGGGCACATCTTTTGTACACGATTAATTATTTGGTATACAACCTTTGTTTTATTAGGTTCCTGGCTTAATCCACATATTGTTTAAAGGGTATACATGTTTCTTTCAGAACAGTCTTAACCCTTTCATTCCCAAGATCTTGATAGTAATTCTCCCAACTGTCTGTTTCACAGTTCTTATAATGTTACTTTGGAGAACTGATTAGTGGATCAATTAAAAATCCCCCAATTGATATTGTTCTTTATTCTCATCACTTGTCAGCATGATGTTGCTTTGATATTGTAAGGAGAAATTCTCTCTCATAACCATGCACAATTCTCTGGCAAAATTTCAATGGCTTATAATGCTGCTCTTTAATACAGAAGTGAGCTCAGTTGTTTCAAGTCAGATTAGCACTAACCCAGGGTTAAACTTTAATCCATGTTCCTTTATTCCTTTGTTCAAAAGCCTTTTTCAGATAATTTTTGTTCTGTTCCTTTTAGGGCATCCAATCATGAAACTGTGGTCAAAACAAATTCTACTGAATTTCCTCTTAAAGCTTTCAAATCTGAAATCATATTTCACATTAACCCCGAGTTATTGTAACCCAGCTTGGAAATACCTGGCTGTGGAGAATATTCTTCCAAAAGTTTGAACTATTTCTCTTATTGCTAAATTTTGTGGTGAGCATCCTGTAAAAGCAATTGTTTTTTAGTAAACGTGATTGAATGGTTTCCATAAAAAGATAAAATCAAATTATCTTGTTTTAGCCTCAACTAACACAGTGCCACAGTTTCTTTAGAAACTTTCCCCCTCTATAGCCTATAAAGGTGGTACAATGGTGGGAGTATTAGACAGCAGTCTAAGTAGATGTGGATCCAGCTGCACTTGGGTAATTTTGTGGTGTTCTTGGTTAAGACAATTACCTCTCATAGTACTTTTCTACCCATGATTACATCATCCACACAGTGACAGATGGGAGGTGTGGGAGGGG